CTTCTCTCTCTCTCTCTCTCTCTCTCTCTCTCTCTCTCTCTCTAATTCTATCCGTCTATCTCCCTCCCTCCATACCCTTCCTTTCTCTATTGCCCTTTCTTTCGGTCTTTCTTTGTTCCTCCCCCCTCTCTTTATCTCTCTATCGCTCTCTATTTTTCCCCGTTTCTCTCTTTCTCTTTGTACCACTCCCGTGTTTTCTCCCTCACCCCTTGCCCCTTCTTATTAACAGACACAATATTTTCCGTCTTTTCTCGTCCAAACTCTTCTTTAGCACACTTTTATACCCTTCTCTATATCTAGACCCTTCTTTCCCTGTCTTGGCAGATTTACGTGTCCCTAGAGTATATAAGACCAGTGTGCCCTGCATGCCGTAAAATACCATGGGTACTAGCCGATAAAAAAGCCATAGCAAAAACAGTATACCCATATGAGAATAATGATGTGGCTTGAAGACTTTAGGGATTCAGAGGTGCAGAGGTAATCAGGATTTTCGAGGCCACAATTAGGATATCAACACGTCATGTAATTTTCAATTTTCAGAAAACAGTCCCTGCAGACCCGGCACGTCACCATGGCAACAAGAACACAACTTTCCTCGGTATTTACCTTGGCCATGCTGACACTGATGAGCCTTCCGAGTTCAGGACAAGGTTAGTTAATAGAGAGATGGAGAGAGACGAAAAACATGCACACACACACACACACACACACACACACACACACACACACACACACACACACACACACACACACACACACACACACACACACAGCGCCCACGTGTGTTTGATGGGGAACAAAAATGGACTTGAAAAATAGCAGAGTGTCTTTTTTTTAAGTTATTAAAAGAAACAAGAAAAATATCCAGTTTCAGTAGGGTATACTTTCTTACTATATAGCTCTCAGTAAATAACAAAAATAAAAACTGTTGGAGGAAATGGAAGAAAAAAAATCACGTTACATCATTTTTGTTAAATTGAAATGAGATTGATGTTGCAATTCCTCCAATGTGAATTGTCTGCCCTTTGGGAGTTTCAGAGTCCACCAGTTTCTTTGCAGGAGATAGTCGCGGAACAAGTTACAATATTATTTATGTTACACCTAGTAAGTGCACACAGAAGAAAGCCATGTTCAGGATGAACCAATACTGTTGAGGCCAGCCAATTTTTCCGTCACGTTTGGCTATCATTTTAAAACACATCTGATAAAATCCTTTAAAGACAAATTAGTTTGGTTTTCTTAACCACTATTGAATAGGTTTGATCTCAAGACATAACCGGCCAAGTCTTTTATTTTCGCAATAATTCAGAGGAATACTGTTGGCCATTTTTGGTTTTCTGAGTCAAATTCAATTAAGTAAATAAGTAAACCCGACCCGATCCAATCTGGTCACGTATTTGACAACCAATGAGTACCACTTCTCAGATCAAATACAGTTTGTTGTGACCAGCTCTGTGGTGTAAAGGTTAAGCTCCTGGCCTTTGCACGTAAACATTTTAAATTCGTTTCTCGTGTGAAGAAGAGTATTAACTGTATCACGTGTACCTGTTCCAACTAAGATTCTTTGTCGCATTTAGCCCTGGTTGGCCAAGAAAGGCACGTTCGAAGCAGCCCGCTTCCTAAAAGTTCTAAATTGAGTCAAAGTCCAAAGAAAACGGTCACAATCATTTGTGTTGCGTAAACTGTAGAGAAACCAGCACCTTCGTGTATCAAAATCTCATAAAGAGTGTAAAGCTACGTTGCCAAGAAAGAGAATACATTGAAGGAATGGTATCACACTTGACTGCCAAAAACAAAACACTCATTAGATGTAGTAGCTGGTTGGCTTACGATCTGGTGTGGTTTTCTCCTTCTTTCTAATCAAACAACTCTATTTGTTATCTTTCATTATCCTTTTTTGGGTTTGTTACTCTTTTCTAACAACTTCAAATCTTCGGCACTTATATAACCTTATTGCGTTTTAAGTGCTATTCAACTCTTACTAAAACTAAAAACGACCTACACTAAACCAGCGTTCATGATGTAGCAGTTAGGCGCTTCGACGCTTCACGCAGGAGACTGGAGTTCGATTTCCAAGCGGGAACAATTTTAGTCGGGGATCTCCGTCTTTCTGTTGGGACGATGTATTCCTCCCAGCCCGGATTGACCCTAGCAGGCAGCGTCGAAGCCCACCTCTTAAATGATATCTAGATTGTGTCGATGTGTGAGCAAAACACCTAAATCAAAATGAAGTGTTCGATTGTAAGGAATTCTTGAACTCCGTGCGTTTGGGCATTCACCTTGGCTTCCTCTTACGTCGGCCTTCCTTTAAAAAAAATATCCTTCGGAAAGGGACGTTAGGTCCTTGAAGCAGCGAAGGGGTAAGATCGACAACTTTACCCCAGTGGTTCATATCGTTCATGTTCCTCGTCGTGCGTCATGGCAGCCTTATCAACACAAGGAACCCGCACAGTTTACACAGCCTTTGCCGTGGGCGTATCCTTTTGTCCGCTGACAAGAATAACTCTTTATAATTTCAACTTGATATCTCTGAAAAAGTTCCCTCAAAGAACAAACAGTAAATGTCTGTTGACTTAAAAAGAATTTTGTGTAGTCTCATGACTGAATGTTAACTACATTAATCTTGACAGTCACAAGCATCAGTGACTAAGCACATATTACAATGGGTTCTTGTTGACACTATGTTGTTTAACGCTAAAGCTGGGTCTATAGATCAGAAGCATTAATGTCTGAGATAACTCATCTCTGGCACTAAACAATATTATGTCGACAAAAAATTCGGGGTAATATTATTAAGCTCAGAATAAAATAATCGTCTTTAATTTAATGTGATTTGAGCAAGTAAACCACAATATATGTGCAGAGAGTCCACTCAGAACGTTATTGGTTTCTTTTTTATTTATCAAAAGTATACACGGTGCTACCGAAACAAAGATAATGATAAATGTGTCTCGACGCGGTGGAATCAGGAGCTCCTCTATTTTTGGGAATGTGAAGTTATTGGTGGGGGCTCTCGTGGCCTAGAGGTTAAGGTGTTGGCCTCTCATTCAAAGGTCCCGGGTTCGAATCCGGGTAGCGACCGAAAAATTTTCTTCTCTAAAATTGTCTCCTTTCTCCTCCTTTCAAGCTCACTAGCAATGTTCTGTTGTCTGCTTTCATTTCCACTTTCTGCCCCTATCCACTCACCTCCATTGCCCCCTCCTCTGGGCTCCTGACTCTTTTTGCAGCCTATCTACTGCTACTCCTTGGCTCCTCTTTACTGCTGTCTTTCAGCCACACCTCTGATCTTCTGGTAGGAAAGATCTGCGCCTAGCCTTCTCGGACAAGGGCGAAAAATCTTGGAGGGCTCGTGTGCAAGTTGTGCACGTTATAGGATCTCTTGGTGGTCTAAAATCAATAACAGTAGGCTTCGGCCGCCACTCGGACAAAATTCAAAATTTCCTACCAACTGAAAAAGTTTAATGTGTCCCGCGTGCTCATAAGACCTTATGCAGTTGCGAGCGCCGTAAAACACTTTACCAAAAAAAAAAAGAAGTTATTGGTTGCTGTGTTAATCACCAGAAACTATTCCCCTCACTCATTATGGAGAACGTCTTGCAGAAATTAGTAAATTCAGGTACCTCGGCAGCAGTACCTCCAAAACTGCAGGCTGCATTGTTTGGATCGCTTTTGTGCCCACGTAGGCAAACCCATTCAAAGACTCTCTCTCTCTCTCTCTCTCTCTCTCTCTCTCTCTCTCTCTCTCTCTCACACACACACACACACACACACACACACACACACACACACACACACACACACACACACACACACACACACACACACACACACACACACACACATACACACACACACACACTTGAAGTCACACCAACACAGACGCGAATGCACACAAGTCATGCAAGAACGCTTACATACACACATTGAGAGGTTTACAGATACAGTACAAAATGGTGATGAGATGCGGAAGCTAGCGATATAAATATCTTGTATCTTAATCTATTATTTGATGAAACGCATAATAACCAATGTTTTGTTCTTTTATATTTTGACGCTATTGACAGTTGGTAACTTATCTTAGCGCTTACTATATTTTCATGAATGACCTACAAACAGACACACACACACACACACAGAGAGAGAGAGAGAGAGAGAGAGAGAGAGAGAGAGAGAGAGAGAGAGAGAGAGAGAGTAGATGAGCAGGAATATTGAAAGAGATGGGGTAGAGAGAGAAGTGGTAGGAAGAGAGGGAGAGAGAGGGAGAGAGAGAGAGATACGGAGAAGGAAAGAGAGAGGGACACTATATTATTTTCATGACAAATCAATTATATCTTTTCAGCAGAATGCAACACCCCAGTTGGTATCGCTGACCCAAGCCTACTACCAGATGACAGAATCGTCGTCTCCTCGGAAGCCCCGGGCCATGGGAAAGAGTTTGTCCGATTCAACTGTTGCAAAGGTTCGTTGCCTTCATTGCTGAGAAGTTTCCAGCTATGTTTGTTCAGAAATGATAACTTGCTCATGTAAAGCACATAGAGCTTGCTGTCGAGTTGGGTTGTGCGCTATACAAATGCTATTAATTATTATTATTATTATTATTATTATTATTATTATTATGAATATTATTATTATAGCTTGTTCGTTCATGAAATATAAGTAAAGCCGAGAATAAGGCTGTATGGATATCTTCAAAAACCAAATTTATAAAGCAGTAGAACAAATGGCAATGAGCTGGAATTAGAAAACACAAGGGTGTGCAAAGGTCTACACAACTGCTGTGTGGAGAAGTTACATGTGTACAACGTTTACCTCTATCCTAAAGGGGTGGACGGCTAGAGAAAGGAAATTCTGTTTCCACACGCTTGAAAGAGTGAGGGGGGAGGAAAAGGTATGTGCTGGTCAGTGGCGGTGGGTAGTGACGGGCTCACGGGCTTGAGCCCCTGACCCCTCCCCACCCACCACTCCCAACTCTATCCCAAAATAAAGGAAAGTTTCTCCATAATGAAATAAGCAGTTGAAACTGTTAGGACCACATGCAGTGAACACAGAGTGATCAACTCGGCGGCTTGCTCGTTTATCCAATCACTGTTGTCACCGCTTACAACTGTAGTAACCCCGCAGCCAATCAAATGTCTTTACGCTCAGCAACGGATGAGCCATTTCTCACGGCCCGTCCTTAATGAAACTCTTCATGTAAAAAGGTAGAAGACTGGGAAAAAATAACACTGTATCGAGGGTTCACACTCTCCTAGCCCTGACAATGGGGAGAAAGTTTACAACACACTTTCCCCCAGTGACACAGATACCTATGCGCTCATTGGTTCTTTGTCGGGTGCGTTCAACTTTCTCAACTACACGGCCTAATCCAGCTCATAGAAGTAATTATTATGTTTGAACTGCTGTGTGTGCCTGTTTTTGTTTGTGCCGCTTCGATTTAACAGTTATAAATGAGGCCGAACTACTTTTAAGGCAACTTTTTCATCACATGAAAATTAATTAGAGGAAATTTGGAGGTGAATCGGTTTCGTCCCCACCATCAACAAAAATTAAACTAAGAACAAAGAGATGGAAAACAAAGCTAACTCTTCTCCTTTGAATGGTTCTTTAAATGCCGTGGCTCACCGTGAGTATAGAAAAATCATCACTGTTTAGTTCTTATAGCTTGCTATTTGGTGAAAAAGAACTGGAAGCAACCTAAGCCCCACCCAAATTTTGGTCCACCCACCGCCACTGGTGCTGGTTCGGGGACGGGGGTGGAGGCAGGAAGATCCGATGACCTATACGGTCCTACCTTACGGATCTTCAACCTTATTGTACCTGGAAGTATACATGAATAAGCAGATAGACTTTTGCGGTGAAAAGAAAGGTAGCAGCTTAGAACTGTTTCGCTTGCAATGATTTTAACCTTGGAGACAAATACACAGCTTTCGTTTGTTGGATGCTTGGCTTTTTGTTGAGTAGTGGTGTCTTAAGGGCCAATGGATGTTGTTACTATCATTATGAGAGCAGTAAAGTTGCACTGTTCATGTACAAGGAACACAGAGGCGTAACGTTTGTGAAAATAAAAGCAACTCTCTCTCTCTCATTCTCTCTCTCTCTTTCTCTATCTATCTATTTATCTCTCTATCTATCTATCTATCTATATATATATCTATCTATCTATCTATCTATCTATTTATCTATCTATCTATCTGTCTATCTATCTATCTATCTATCTATCTATCTATCTATCTATCTATCTATCTATCTCCTTCTCTCTTTCTCTCTCTCTCTCTCTCTCTCACACACACACACACACACACACACACACACACACACACAATCACACTCTCTTTCTCTCTCTTGCTCTTCCTCTCTCACACACACTCCATCTCCCTTTCATCCCCCCTTTCCTTTATCTATCAATCTATCAATCTATCTATCTATCTATCTATCTATCTATCTATCTATCTATCTATCTATCTATCTATCTATCTATCTATCTATCTATCTATCTATCTATCCATCTATATATCTATCAAATGCAAACATACGACCAAATATACAACAACGATACTCATACACACATAAAACATATAAAACACACTCACATGAACATAGATACACACACACACACACACACACACACACACACACACACACACACACACACACACATACACACACACACATAATATATATATTTATATATATATATATATATAATATATATAATATATATATATATGTATAAATATACATATATATATATATATATATATATATATATATATATATATATATATATATATATATATATATGTGTGTGTGTGTATATATACTCACACGCACGCATACATGTATAATAATTTTCATTCTCAATTTTGTAAGTAAATGTGCTCTCATGCAACCATGACGATTAATTATTAATGAATTTAGAACTCTCACCCAAAGAAAAAAATGCAACTTTTTTATTCCCGACTTTTCACAGGCAAAATTGGATCTGCTTGGTGCCCAGATGAAAATGACCCTAAACCATCTCTCGAGATTCGGCTCCCCAAGGAAGTTCCTGTTGGTAAAATTGAGATCCAGGCTCCATATACCGACAAGACTTCCAACGACCCTTTGATATTCTGCCCACAGAATTTTCTCAAGTCCTTCGACCTATCGGTTAAACTAAAGGGTGTTCCAGGGTTCGTCAGTTTGCAAAAGGTAAGCAAAAACAGATCAGTGTGATTATATACCATGGATGTTTCATTAACTCAGGCAGAAAGTCTACCAAACAAATTATTGTCACCACAGCCGACGACTATACTTCTATTGTGATTACAGTTCTGCTTACGACTGTCCTTTAATTAGCTCGAACTGTAGCGTAGTCTTCAAGTCACTCTACAATATTTCGAAGAAAACTCATGAACTAATGAAGAGACCGTTTTGAAAACGGTTTAGTAAGGAATATGCCTGTGTCCCTGGGACAAAGTGTCTCAGTGTTTTAGACTCCAATAACTAGAACTGAAACCCTACTAAGGGTTAAATGTGTGCAGCTTTTGGGACAGACACCTTCAATAGTATTCTTTTATAGCTGTTTAATCTGCCATAAGGAATGAATGGAAAATCATGATCGCCGATGTCTGTCGCAGATCTGGCACTGGATGATGATGAGTCTGCCATATGAAAGACCTGTGACATTGTATACAGAACTCTGTGTTTGCATTTATATGTCGATGTTATGTACACTATCAGGGATCGGTCAAAGAAAAGCAGAGATCACTGCCAACTAGATTTGTTTATTCTTTGTGTCCATTTGTACCTCAGGATATGGTAGCTATTGCCAACAAGACAATCCCAGGGGTGACATGGTCTTTCACTCCCCCGGTCAACACAGATGTTGTGCGGATAGAACCTAGGGAGAGAGAGGGCCTGGCCTGTTTCAGACTGGAAATCATTTCTTGCGAACCCAAGAGTGAGTACTGTTAGAGCATCCTAGCAAACAGCGTATTCTCGTGTTAGAGTCTGCTGTTTTCATAGTCAGAATTACATTTGTTCTGGATTTGCCGATCATCCATTTTAGAATACTGAGATTTTTAGCAGAACAAGCTTTTACAGAGAGACACAAAAACCCATTTTTGTAAGACAACAACGTTCACAGCATAGCTATAAAATGGTCTATTTTCTATTTTTTAAGAACATAGAGCGTATGAGAGAACACATAGTATCAAAATCAAAGAAAAAAGAGTGATTGTTTTTTAAGGACATAACATATCGTGCAGGTACAAAATAACTAGATCTATAATATTCAAAAAATTCAAATTTCACAATATCATGTTGAGATACCCTACGCTTCAGCCGTTACAACATTGGTCTGACAAATTCGCCTTAGGCATACGAAGTAGCTATACAAAAGGAACGAAAAAAATATTGTATACAAACCGCTCAACGGTGGAATCGAACTGAATGATGCTCTCCCTTCTCTCCCAGGTCTTTGTAGTGACAACTGGTGTCTGCATGGTGGTGAGTGCAGCGGGCCCAACACTTGTAACTGTACAGCAGTCGACGGATACTACGGCGAAAGATGCGAGTACACAAGTGAGTTACAACTGCTATGTGACATGACATGAAACACCCATACAGACCATAATAATAATATGTTAGTAGGTACGTTGCATTTCAGTTAGTTCGCAAAAAAATCCCAGAAGAATTAATAATCTTCGGGCAGTTTTGTCCTGTCTTCATTGTAATCTCCGAAATTTTCGAACAAGAATCCGTTATTGGCAAGAGATTTGTTTTTGATTATCTTTGTCGATTCCTTGTTGAAAACAGTCCTGCATAAACGTGCTTGTATTGGTGTTTCATAGTTCTCACTCTGAGGGTAAATTTATGATATCGTTGCCTCGGTTCCGATCTGACTCTGGTGGTGATGAGGAGGAGGTACCATGTTTGTCTCAAGGCTTGTTGAGATTGTAGTTATAGTTTACAAACAACTGATCAATAACCGTCAGTAGCAAACGTACCTGTTTACAGCCAAAGTAAATGAATTCAGAATTAGCTCTTTTAGTGTGTTGAAAAACACGTATATTCACTGTAGATGTAACCCCAAAAATATGACATACGTACTCGTATACCTTTTGTAAACATTATAGACGTAATGTGCTTTCAAACACCTTGCAAAGTTTATCAATTAGGAATAACGCTTTGTTCTTGATTTATTAAAAAAATGGATTGTGATCATTTCAGAAAGTACAATCCCATCCTCATCCTACAAGTTTGTCCGTGTGGACAGCAAATTGCTGATAACAGAGAAATACAACTTCACATACCACGGACAACTGACCCTGGAACGTTTCGGAAACACGAACAGCGTTGTGCTACATCCCGCGAGCTATATCGACATTAAAGGTCCTCAGATTGCGACATGCCTGACCGATCCAGACAGCTGCGTCTCAGGATTTTCCATTAGCATAGTTTTCAGGTGAGCTAAATGACAATTTCATGTAACTATTTCCATATGATATTTTATTACTTTGGTATCAAACTCATCTAAGCCGTCGTCCTTTTGGAGACACGTTGCTAGTTTCACAGCAGATCTCTAAACTTGCTTACAGAAAGGATATTAAGATTATACTTTACCTGGATTTCAAAGATAGTATAGTATTCATTGAACGCTAAGGCTGGAGCACACAATATTATCTGTCTATGTTATAGAGTTACAATTGTCTTTTAGACTACTGTGAGTGAAAGCACTCGACAGGCAGCAAAGAACGATTTGTTTTCAAAGGAATGGGGCACAGACAGACAGACGGACAGACAGACAGAGAGGGGGAGAGAGGGAACTTTTTAAAAAATGTTTTGGTTTTCGTAAGCGTTTTAGGGCACTTGCAACACCATAAGGTCCAAGGACTACAGATGTTACAAGAAAGTAACACACACTAAAAGGAGAGAAAACGACTTCAGATGTTTGAAAGGAAGGAAGGAGGAAACCACACCAGAGCTTCTGCCCATCAACTACCAGAGAGAACGAGAGAAAGAGAAGATAAGAGAGAGGGAGAGAGATAAAGAGAGAAAGAGAAGAGAGAATCAGAGAAACAGAGTGAGAGACAGAGAGAAGGGGAGGGGGAGAGGGAGGTGGAGAGAGAGAGAGAGAGAGAGAGAGAGAGAGAGAGAGAGAAAGAGAGCTTGAGAGAAAGAGAAGAGAAAGGGAACGCCCTGGCTTGCAAAAGACATACGCCGTATAACCATGTTATGTCAGGTCACTAATTTAGTGAACCGAAAGTTTACATTCCCCAATTGCATAATAATGTTTCTGTAATTTCAGTGTCACTCATCTCAAGAAAAACGAGACTCAGATAATATTGTCGAGTCTAAGTTTAACTCAACCCTCTAAAGGAATGGTGTTATATTTCCACGACGACAAGGTTCACTGCTTGGTGGGCACCAGCTCTCAATTGTGGGCAATTAACAGCCATTTCGTGCTCAAGGATTTGAAGTGGTAAGATTCGACCCGGTTTAATTTTTACTCTCTGTTTTATATTTCAAACACGAACAATTAACTGTGCAGATAAACACATGACCTTAGAGGGGACAAATGAAGCACACAAATGGGTAAAAGGAAAAGTATAACCTGCTCCATCCTCACCTTCCCATCCCTGGGCTCATCAGGACAATCTGTTTCATGTTCCTGTTAGTAGCTGGAGGTCTTAGTGGTGACCATGAATCTGGGCATTAGCTCTATCTAGCACATTTGGAACAGTTAACCAAAATATTTATAGCAGACATGTACATAATATATTTTTTAAGTCTTCTATTTTTTTAAATTTGACACCTGGTGAGACAGGACATCCTACTAAAACAAAGAAGATATGTAGACAAACCATTAACTCACCATGGAACCTGTAAAAAGGTGCAGTAAAGACATGCTATTGTCATGTTTCTCAATGAACTGCGTTGAGAATACATTTAAATAATATTCTGATTTTATCATGCCTTAGTACTTCCTGTCTGCCTCAGCTTTCACCTGAGATCAAGGTTTACACAACAAGTGACATAATTTACTTCAATGTTCATGTCTAAGTCTAGATTAAATACCAAATTTTCTTACCTTGCTGAAAGGGATATTATATATATATTAATTGTATTTTCGATTTCTAAATGCTTCTATAGGCATGTTTATGATTTTTGTTAAACTTCCAAACATCTCTTTTTTCATAAGTGGGCATTAATGTGTTTGTGCACATACATTTAAAAAAATACTAATTCGATATTACGCCCCCAGGCGAGTTGTATCTATCAGAATAAAGTAAGGTTTTATACAAATTTGATAATATGCGTTTCTGCAGGTACGAGATGACAATTTCATGGAGCCTTGGACGTGGTCTTCTGCTACTGGAAAACGGCGTTGTCATTGGCTCCTCCCTCCGACCTACACCTCGGGAACAGGTGACTCTAACTCAGCCGCTCACCATCGGCTTCAAAGAGAGGTATACAACATCTCTGATTAAAGTGGCGAGCATGAAGACACTTCTCCTTTTCTGGACTGAGGCTGAAAGAGTTGGCTTCAAAAGAGGTACATTTCCATAATAATATTTGATGTTAATAGTTGGTATCTGGAATCTTTTCCGACACTCGCTGCTATGTAAAGCAGACAAAATCGTAGCAAACCTCTGTATTCTTCTGCTTGTCAGAACTTTTGAAAATAAGGTTATTGTGTTTAAAGAAGCAGATTTGTTTCAGTTTCTCAGGTTGGTTAGACACTTTCTTTCTATTATAGGGTCATTCTTGATTCCCACGTATAGATTCTGCCTGCATTTTAGGGTGGAACGGCTCCGTAACAAACGCCACTGTTTCCAAAACTCTTAATTTTTAAAAATTCGGAACCTCGAATCTCGGGGACAAGATGAATATTTATGCATTTACTATTTATACTATCACTATCATTATTGTTGACCTGACTTCAGAATCATCTTAATGACAGGAGTGCAAAAGCATTGTAACCACAGTTACGTTCTACTAATACGTAAAGCGCATATCAAATTTACATGTTTTATCTTTTTTAGAGGAGATCCCAACCACTATCGCGCCGACAACTCTACCGCCCACCACAACCACCGCATGGCCAGAACCTTGTAAGTATTGTACTGTATACATGGGATGGAATGCTAATAATAAGTGAGTTGACTTATGGATTACGTGAAATGACTTCATAATAAGAAGAGTCCTTTGGGAAGTCAGTTTACAAATGGTTTTGTCGTTGGTAGTATTCTTGCTACAGGACCCGCGGTCGAGAGAAAGTGGGTTCGGGGGTGCAAGACTCAGCTTGGTGTGACGTTGTATTCTTGAGAACTACACTTTTCCTGAATTGTCCCATTTGGCTAGGTCCTAAGTCGGAAGTTTCTGCTTGTTAAATAACCTTGCAGTGTTACAAGAGCGCTATAAGATTTTAAAAAAAGCGAGACTGAAAAAGAGAAAGAAGACAGACGTATTGCACCAAAGTAAAAGCTAAAATGTAACGTCTGTGAACAGACGCTGGGAAAATGTAAAGTAGACGTTTCCATTCGGAACCCACTTGACTAATTACGCACATCCAGGAATGCCACCGTGTGGCTATTATAGGAACCATGATGCCCTGCAAAAAATACGACATACACTTATGAGAAGATAGACCTCAACCGTACTCGCATCTGTTCCTATACTATCAGAATGGTTTTACAATCTGCTGGTACTGGTTTAACCACGCCCTCCGGCTCCTCTTCCCCCGGGGAGGGAAGGGGAGGTGAGTGAGGTGGCTGTAACTGATGAAATATGTCCTGCCCCCACCAACGTGATTATTCGTGACCTCTTCTGTCACCAAAAACGGAATCTTCCGTCTCCAGAATGAATTTTCCTGTCTTCCTATTGTGATCGGAGTGAAGGTGCAGCTTATGGGGTAATCTGATTTCGTTAATGTCTCTTGTCTCCGCATGGATATGGGAAAATAAAAGTTAAGAAATGTACACATTATCGTCAGCAAGCTGTTCCGTTGCTCTAAACCCAGAAAGCAACATTTTTCAGGAGGGAGAGAAAAACTATTTCTTTTTTTTTTAACTCATACCTACATTATGTATTTTATTGGGGGGCGGGGGGTTAGCAAGTGTAATTTGAATTTCAAAAAAATCTTGCTTAAACACATGCAAATTACAGCATGAATATGTTAAAACACTACAATTTAACAAAAATTCAAAATGTTACCTATTGTACACCTGAAAAGTTGGAAGACAATGCGACATTATGATAAGTCAATATGGCGTTCATGAATTATGCTGGTTGAAGAAGTTGTATTTGGATGGAACACGTTACTCTCTGAAACAATGATATCATCAGGAAATACAAGTAAAGTGACTGCCATTAATCCTCGACTACAGTAACAATTGTTTATTCTTTTTTTATATAGACAAAAGTACACAACCACAGTAACCGAACAGGAATATTGCAAAGAAACTTAGCAATGACAATACCAACAAATAGGGACCGGTTCGCCCGAACCGCCCCCGAAGAAACGCCACCCCGGCCATCGTGTAAAGTATTTTTTAGCTTTCAAAATACATATTAAAAATATAAATACTAATTGAAGACAACCCCCTCCCCCCTAAATCCCCCCCACTCCCCCCTCTCTCTCTCTCTCTCTCTCTCTCTCTCTCTCTCTCTCTCTCTCTCTCTCTCTCTCTCTCTCTCTCTCGCTCACTCACGCGGACTATCTCTGTTTTTTCCTCTCTCCGCAGGGGAGAGCAAGGCCAAAATGGTCTGAAGTTTTTAGAAGGCTAAACTCAAAAACATTGGGCTCTCAAACCATCTAGAGTTCGCAGTCTCCCCCCCCCCCCTTTTTTTTCATTTCAAATGTTCCACCCTTCCATATCCCACCCTTCAATGTCGTTTGTTAATCCGCTGATGCTAAGATTTTATAAAGGTTGGTCCACGGCTTACAGAGCCGTTACGAAGCTTAAACATGTCCGCCCACACTATCCTAAAGCCCACTGTAAGAAGATTTCTTGGTTAATAACTCTTCAGGCCCCAGGCTTTTCAATTAAATAGGCATCATGTTTTGGCCTAATTTTGAAGATTATCACACTTAAGCCTGGTGATTTGAGTGAAACGGAAGTAGCTAATGCTGTTGTTATAATAGACATTCTAGTTTTAAGAACGGTGCACATGTTTTAAGAGGATAAGAAGAGAAATGATACAGAACGGTAAAGGACACACACTACCAGACAAATGATGATGATAATGATGGTGAAGATGATGATTATGATGATGATCATAATGATGATAATAATAATGATAATGATGATGATGATGATGATGATGATGATGCCTGGGCTGATCCCCCCCCCTCCCGACCCTCCAACAATTCCAACCAGACCACTAGACGTTATTCAACCCCTCTCCTGTTTCTGCAGCCTGTAAAGCAAAACTTGGCATGCAATCAGGAGCCATCAAGGCAGATCAAATCTCCGCCTCTTCCAGTTTGGCAGGACACGGCACAGAGAAGGCCAGGGCAGGGTGTTGCCAAGGTATGTCGTAATGTCGTTATCCGGAAACCTATTGCTTCTTTCTGCAATAAAATGTGTAAAATAATTGTGCAGTAACAAAATAAAATTCCATATAATGGAAGCCTTTCTGCATAATATAAAGTATTGATTGGTTACATAGTAACAGCAGAATGTCTATTAAAAAAACGCCTACTCTTAGAAAGATTTATGTCAGTAGTTCTCAAATCTTTGTGAAATCTGGTGCTCGTCAAACCAAAGAAATCTAAGAAATCTGCATTTTTATGCACGTTGGGCATTTTTTAAATTTTGCTCAATATCTTTAATGTCCATCTAAAAATACTTTCATGTGTGGATTTTATTGAAAAACGTTAAACGAAGGCACAATAGATGTAAATTTGCATTTTCCAAGGACTCTCAAGCTTTAGTAGTCAGTCACCAAACTTTGTCGGTCATTTTCTCGCTTACTTTATTTCTAAAACTAAGCAACACTGTCTCCTTCAATAGCAAACATCTCGACTCCTAGCTGTATAACTTTTTTTTAGCGAAAGCAAGACAAGCGTTCAAGCTTCATGATGATACCAATAACCCCATGTGCCGAAACATTGACGAGCGCCTGATTTCACCACGTCATCACACTAACACACACACACACACACACACACACACACATACACACATACACACACACATATATCTATCTACATATTTATATAATATATATACGCATATGTATGTATGTATGTATGTATGTATGTATGTATGTATGTATGTATGTATGTAT